ATGTAGATGTAGATGTAGATGTAGATGTAGATGTAGATGTAGATGTAGATATAGATATAGATATACACTGTAGGTTAATAAACCATTGAGGACGCCAGGAATTTAATCCTGCCTGGCATGGCTGGTTAGAATCAATTGAAGGATGTTTAAAATAGGCCATAGATATGTGGGAGGTTTCCACAATTCACCATTTTTTGAGTGAAATCTCAAGTGGAAATCCTTGGGGTGAGAAAAAAAATTAGACCCCAAATAGGGGTGGGGGAAAGAGTATGTCGTTAAAGTGGGGGGTAGGGGGGTGGGTACAACTTTTTTACCAATTTAACTTACTTTCAGAAGGTTTCCTAACTGATGGTCAAAAAAGAGACCCCTAAAAACAAATCAAAATTTATTTAGATGAATTAATAAAAAAGCAAGACACTAGATATATATATTATATTACATGTTACCTATCCTTGTGCCTCATGGAACATAGGTCCTTATATATAGTAGATTAAGCTATAATTATTATCATAATCATAATGTGATACTAGAGATTTCTAGAAGAGTTTAGTTCCTTTTTGATGACAACTGTAAAATACTAGTACAAAACTACCACCAAGTTCTGTGTGCAAAGATGCCAGGTTAGCACTCACTCATTCACTTAGACCAACAGGACCTTTCAGTGTCAAACAAAGAAACAAATCTATTGTGTTACTGCCTTGTTCTATAGTTTTATAAACCAATAACACCTTTTGGGCAGTGTGAATGAGTGCTAACCAAGGGTGCCACCCATATTTTGCTCTAAGATGCATGGAAACCCAATCTCAAGTGACTTGCATATTGCATGTAACACCACTTCACAATTATAAGTATTTTAGTATCAGAGTTTGATGATTTTGCCTACAAGTATTTCTACATACCTTACAGGAAAATGTGGATCGTATTTGAATTGCAATAAATCCTGGAATAAAAATGAAAAAAAGAATCAAACAGAGAAATACCTTTCAGTCAGTTAGCATATAAAACTTTTTAAACTTTTGGAATACTACACAGTGTTCCTTGAAAACAGACTCATCTGACTCATTCAGAGCAGGAGTTAATAGACCTAATTTGTTAATATGGTGCGATGTTTTCCTGTTACAGGCCATATGTCATTCGCTTGAAAATAAGATTCTTTGTTTGGGTTATATCCATATTCATGTTTCTTCTTAAACAAAGAAATGATACTCTTTGGAATGACATGTGTTCTGCAAAGGGAAAACATTGCATCTCCATGAATAATTTCCATTGGAATAGACAGGCATGTCGCTAGGGGTGGTTCAACGGTTTGAACGAAACCCCCCTCTCCACCTTTGTAAGAGTTTAGCGCTATTTTAGTTTTTCAAGATATGGTATAACTAAGATTGGTAGAAAAATGAACCTCCCCTTTCAAGGTCCTAGCAATTGGTAGAATATAGAGGATAGATTGCAATCTAGCATTCAACTCACCTTAGGATAACCTATAGACACCAGTCTTTCAATAACTAACTCAAAGGCTTTTGCTTCGTATACTGGAGACTTGTAAACTAGAGAAATCAATAATAATAAATATTTATTCATTGAATACTGATCAAATGCTGCATAGTTTGTGCAAAGTTCTGGACATACACTTAATTATGAAGATACCCATACATGTACATAGTTTGGTTGAGGCAACTGAGGTTTCATGGTTTACACTATTTTGACAACCACTCACACTGTACCATGAACAACACTGATAATTCTTTTCCTCAAAAAATCTCTTATTTTATTTTTAATTGTATTATATATATACTTGTAAACATTTATATGTGTGTGTGTAAATAAACAAAAGTTCAAGTCCAAGTTCAAGTTCATGGAACAAGAGCAAGGCCTTTAGTTTGAAACTAATTTTTCTCCTCATTTGCTTGGGTTTCTTCATCATTTGCCTCCCACCCCACCCTCAAGGGAATAAAACCCTGCCTTACCTGCTAAAGTATAGTCCATATCAAACCCAAAAAACTTGATTTTATCCAAACTTAGACTTCTGTTTACAAATATCCTGAAAAGCAACAGTACAATTTGTAGTCCACAAAATAATCTAACTTCATTCTCAAGGGGTGGAGAAAGAGAAGGTAGGAAATGTCAGCATGGAAGCGACATTGCGTGGTTCCAGAAAATGTCCATACTATACCGTGGAGGAAATTTGAAAAAAATGTCCCTCTGCTCTTTTGGAATTTCTAATTTTTTTTCCAAACAAACCTTGTGATTTTGCTTTTTCCTCTGCCCCCTCACCCTAGGAATTTCCCCATTTCTTCCATGTGGGGTATGGATGCCCACACATTATCAATGGGTATTGGTTTAGAGGTTAACTAGTCAAGGGCCTTTCCATGTGGTAGGAATAGCTATTTTCTAAATCTAAAAACACTAAACCTTCATGTTTACCTCTTCGCAGTGTCCCTCTTGAAAGCTGTCCTCATATCGACTGAATCAACTCTATCTATAGGATGCTGATGATAAGGCATTTTGTTTGGTGTGCTGAATGAAGTTGGCAAATGGAGATTCTAAAAAATAAATGAAAAATATTAGCCAGCCTTACATTGATGATGGGAAAATTATAATTAGAGTCAAAGATCACTGAATTTGAAATTGGAACCAAAAAGAAAAAAAAAAAAAAATCTGGAATCATTAAGCTTATCATTATGTAAATCTAAACATCCATTCACGTAAGATTCAAAGTTGATAAAAAAATAAAAATTGAGTAGAATGAACTCGAAAACGATGTAGGAAATACTAAATAAAATGGCATATACCAAATATAACGAAGATATCTAAAATCATAGAGGGTTTACAGTAATATAACAAGAAACAATGAAAGCCAAACGAAAACTTTGGAGTTAGTCAACGTCATCGTTTGCTTGGGTAATACTTTTTTGTTTGGTTGAATCTTTACATCTAGTTTTCGCGATTGTAAGCTCACCTTTACTACATGATTGATTTTTCTTGGATCTCTAATTTCGCTGTTTTTCAGTGTCTCCATGCTAGTATTTGCACCTTTAGCGTGAATATCGATGTAAAATGAATGGATCAGATCAAGCTTTTTTTGGCGTTCAAAACAAAAGAAAGCTTTTCAAAACAGTCACGAACTCCCAAGTAATAGTTTGTGGACAAAAGCAATGATTTCCGCGATTAAGTATTTATTAAGGAAATTTTAATTCTTGATCGCAAAACCTGGGTTATTGAGAGTTTGGAAACCCTGCTAAAGGATATAATGTCAAGTGAATCGGTAACAGAACGAAAATCACGGGGGCTCTCGAATACCCGATACGGTGTGCGATGCATGCCTGAGAAACCCCTTGTGTCGTAAGAATTTCTAATGTGTTGATATGACACCTCACAAAAAATGCCAATCAAATCGACTGAGATAGCTAAAAGAAAGATCCAATCAGATCAAGGCTGGCTTCAAATTACAACTACAGTTAGTTTTACTTTACTAAGTTACTAAAAGCAGTTGATTTCTCATCATCTTTGATCTTTCGATCGTTGAACTTCACTCCAAGCAGCCTTGACATGATCACGAATTTCACCTAAAAATCACTCATGCAAACCCATCCAGAACTAACCTTTTTAGTTGAGACACGAAAGTTTCATCACCTTATATATTTTAACACTATCGTTTTACCAATATTCGATCCTTCTTTGACCACAAAGTCTTTCCTTTTTTACTCGAATTTCGAGCACAATCGAGCAACGACTTAAAATATCCACTTTTCAAATCAGCGGATTCTCAAATGAAAATAAGATAATACATACAATTTGATTTGCTGGAGGTCACCGGAGTTCAATTATTAACCAATCGGAGAGCTTGTTATAAGATGCGGACAAAAGCTTCAGCTGTGTCATTGTAAAAGCGCGAAATTTCAAGTGGAGCTGAGACCAGTTGTGAATCTGTAAGTTTGAGGTAAGGTTTCCTTTAATTTATTTGTTGCTTTTGTACAGCCTTTGAATTCTTTAGGAATAAATAGGCAAGTTCTTGAGTTTCGACCAGCTTTTGGAGGTTTCGCTGGCTTTAAATAAGTATATTTTAGTTGTAAGGAATATTCCTTTTCGAAAAGCCAAAATTACAAACTTACAGTATTTTCTTATAATTTGATGCCGCAAAATTATCGCTTTCCTGAATGTATGAAGAAAAGAAAGAGCAAGTGCATACTTTGCATTGACACCATATTATTTTTTTTTGCATTTAGCCCTGGATGCCTCGTTTTTTTTATAACACACTCGGCCGTGTGCCATTTTGGACTTAGGTGTAGGCACTAACAAACTGAGCTACTCCTGCTCCTTCACATCTTGCTCCAAATTTGAATAAGAAAGAAAATTTGTGAAGCACTTTGGTAGTATTAGTAAGATGATGCCATTGTGGAAACAGCCAATTGAAGAAATTTTCCACAGGTAGCCAAATCAAGGGGATCTAGGTTATGGATACAGAGGGAGGAAGGGTCGAGGGTGGGGTAGCAATAGTACACTCCCCTATTCACCTTTGGGGTTTTGGGTTCGATACCTGGGACTCATTATCAATGTGAGTAGTGGAGTTAATGTTAGGTCTCTCTTTTGATGCAACTGTTTTTCTCTGGGATCTCAACTTTTCATTTCTTTGAATTTGTAAGTCATGCCCTGTCTTTGGACAGCCCAGAGGTCACCTCAGGGTATTGATAAAATTTGAAGGTTTTTTATTACCATAAAAAGAAACTTTATTATTCACCTATTAGTCTATGTTAGTTTCAATTAATACACATCATTTATCATAAATATAAAATGTTTACACTCAATTGAAGAATCGTTGTTGGGTTCAGAAACCTAGAATATAAAAGCTGAGACCGAAATGGCACATGGGAAATGACATAATTATATTATAATCTTATTCATTTGCACCATCCATGCAGTCAGTTTAGAATGCCAAACGCGCATTAAGAAGACCTGCGTTTGAGAGCCGTTCGGACTTCACATTTTTATAGGTTGCAACGTAGACGAAACTGCTTATTTACTCCCCATGTGCCATTTCGGTCTCAGCTTCTAAGTTATATGTTTCTGAACCTGACAACAATTCTCCAATTGAGTGTATATCAAGACAACAAAATATTGTTTTTATACAAATTGTCAACTATAAATAATCATATAAATTATTATTATTTCATGAATGTTTTTTATACTTGCATGCATGCTCCCTACAAAATGTTTTTTATAATAGTTATTAAACTCATTAATAATTCATGATACATAATAATTCAAAACACAACAGAAATCACGACAGTGAAGAGTTTTGTAAATCAGATACAGAATCCTTAGTCTACCTGTTCATTTGCATAAACTTTAAGATGGATTTTCTTGGCCAGATTCACTTTGCCAGATTCATCTTGAAAATGTTAGTAAAACACAAAGGAACTAACCTAGACGTTTGATAAGTAATCTCCATACTATATATATTACTTTAAATTTATGAATTTTATCATTACATAAAATTATTACATCAAATCAAATCATTACATCAAATCAAGTCAAATCATGGGGTCAAAAAGAATGAAAATTAGCTGTTCCAAATAAGATTGTAGATTTTTTAATATTTATTTCTATATTTTTACTTTTTTCATAACTTGATCCATTACTTGACGGTTACCATTTTACATTTTAGTACGATTATATATTCATGTATATAATATATGTATATATATTAGTTCTGTTTTATCAGTTTGCAATTTTAGGATAAACTGTCATAAAGATATAGATTTTAATAACATCAAGCAATTATGTGAAATCAGCTGTAACTTTTTTTCTCATTGTTGGCTAGGTCAATCAATCATTAATAAATTAATAGAAAATGTATGTGTGTGCTGTGTGCAATTATATAGCATGCTGGGTTGGCAGAACATGAAAAAATGTTAGGAGAAGCAAGATGCGTAGCAGAGTGCTTCTCATCACTTCTCTACACTTCTCAAGTGTTCTGTCAATACCCAAGTGCTTTGTATGACTCTTTGTATAAATGCTTAATTGCATTTGTTTGTTATAAACTTACTATACAGATAATGCACACTATATAAATAAATTTGTATAATCTTTTTTCAAACTACACTATTATAGTCGTTTCGTCTGAGTTCATGAAAAGTGATCGAGTAATAACAGTATCAAACTATTCCCTTCATTTTATATACAACCTCCAATGACAGCAGAATAAGTACACCAATGTTTTCTCTGACGTCACTATATATCAGGTTAACCAGAGTTGTGGCACATATTAAACTACAAGTAACTTGCATTAACTCTGTTTAAGACCGTCTGCCAGCCTAAGTTCTAGACATTTTCTGCTCATAGTAATCTCGTTAATGCTTGAAGTAAGTTTAGCTTACTAGTCTGAATCATATTGCTCTAGACATTTGTCTCATCAGTATTTATATTTTGTATCTTCTCTTCACTGTTATTTGGTGACAAGTCGTCCATTGACTGAGCTATTATATCAAGATAATCCTGCATGGGAAATATAGTAATTCATCATTAAACAGATCAAGACATACAGCATGCCATATGTTATAGCTTCAACAAGAAGTTAAATCAGATCAGGGTTTTTTAATGACGTTAAACTACCACAACCAAAATTCTTTTCAAAGTCTCTTTTTATATTCAAATGCCAAAATTCCTTTGAGAATACCAATTATTAAGACACTAGTTAAAATTAGCATTAAACAAAAGAGCTACCAATAGTCTAGAAGCTAAGTCTGAAAAGAGGCTTATTTTTCAAGTTGGCTGCACCCCATGGGTGGCCAAGGTTTCTTGGTATCATTTTAAAGCTTGAAGCCTGTAGATTACGAATCTGCTTGTCGCCACTTGAAAAAAGTGTCCAAACAGCTTGGCGACCTGGCCTAAAGTACATACTT